TTAGTCAGCAAAAATGGGTATATAGGGAGACATATAACAGCAGATGCAGGCATCCTGTTTCTGTAGTGTAACTCTCAACCCTTTTGGGTGTTAGGCTGTTCAGGAACTATTTGTGACATCTGTGTTTCCAGTAAGGCCCAATGGATTTTTCTTTCATGAAGTAGCCCAATCTTCTTTTGAGTACAGGCTTAATTAAGTCTTCCTTGCCCCTTCTTAGTTGTTTTTAATCATAACATCTGCCAACATCATTAAAGCTTGATACATTCCAACTGAGTGTCTAAATGCAGTGTTCTTTTCTAGAGAATATTTTGTCATTTTATTTGTCATTATATTATTTCATTTGATTTTTCTGTCCCAGGTGATTCAAACCCCAATTATATCAGTGAATAACATTGAATAAACCTTTGACTTTTTTTTTACTGTTGCACTTCATGGGAACCTCTGGCTTTTGTAGCCGCAAGTTTATGAACAATATATTTATCAATAAGTATGTAAAAAGTTCAGTTAGAGGAATTAGCCACAATTATTGAATCATGATTGTGAAGGGAGCTTTTGTGCAGATCATCGCTTTAAGGCCAAATACAAAAATCTTGACCCATTCTGAGGTTGGCATACCCTTTGTTTTTAGAGACACCAGGATTTTCTTCGAAGTAATAGACACCAGACTTCTCTTTGTACTGGTATTTTAATGGATGGAAGTTGTAGATCAGAAGTTGGAAGTGGTAGGGACAGCAAGTTACGTGAAGTGGGATAAAGTTGCCTGTTGCTTCTCTGTAGGTTATTAATCCAGTGTTGCATTTGATTGTAGAGAAATAACCTCAATGTAATATAGAGGTCTGACCTCAATGTAATACAGAAGTCTGAAATGCTGGTAAGGTTCTTGAAAATGTCAGGAAGATGCATTTATATTTAAACCCACAAATGTCTAGCCTGATACATCTTTTCTTTGTTATACATATATTAGATGTTTTATATAGCTTTGAAAATGTTCACAGTGAAAACTTACTACCTAAGAAGCCTGCAAGTTTTAAAAATTGTAATTTAGTTAAACCACTGTTGTTAACTAGCTGGTTATTTGTAATCTGTATGCATTTTGTAGGTATGTAATAGCTTTGAATGTGAAAAAAGAGTGAATTGTAAGTGTTCTTACTTTATTTTTTTACAATTTACAAGAAAGGCTTTTTTCCTGTAACAATGAGAAGATGGAAAATCTGAATAATCTTTTCAGATCAAATATGCAATGCTCATTTAAGCTGAGTAAAGAAGCAACTTGCTTTAGTAAATGTTAAAAGGCTCCTTAAAGTATTTAGAGTATAGGTGGCATGGTCTGTAGCATAAAGCTGAGGGCCCACCAGGTGGTGCTGGTGGAGTACGTTTCATGTTGCCTTGGCTACTTAAATTGTGTCTTAACAACTGTGAGTGAGATGGGTGCAGTACAGGAAAACTTAGTTCATATGCAACAAGCCAGTTTGTACAGTTGAAAAGAATACACTGTGATATTGTGTACTGGCTTTGTGATTTGGGCACTTTTAATTTTTAAAAATTAAAATGCTGAGGAAAAACCCCTTACCTGTGGGATGGCTGATGTGGGAAAGTGCAGCATGGGAGTGTAGTTGCAGATCCTTTACCTACTTTTTTGTTGATTCAAAGAGAAGTTTATGAAACTTGTTCATTCATGTCCTAGAAGCTCATTGTATCATATCATAACCATGGGCCTATTTACCTATTACATATTGACTTTAAAAAGCAAATTAATTTTTCACTAAAGCTGTTTCAGATGTTTCAATTTGGTCAGAATCTTTCCTCCTAAGGATTGCACAGTAATGAAGGTCTCATTATGGGGCCAATTCTTTTGATTTGGTCTGCTAAGTGACTTAAAAAGTTAAAATAGAAACAAATTCTGAAGATGCACAAGATCTTAATACAATTTCTCCATCTCTTATGAAGCTGGGGTTTTTATGACTCTTTTGAGAATTGTATCCATTATAGAAATGGGAAGAGGAGATTGAAGAATAGTGTGGACCACAGTAGTTTGGAGTAAATTTCTGTTTCCTACTCATTTGAGCATGTTTGGTTTTCTCTTAACGTGCCCTGACATAAAATATGTATACATTATTTAAAAGACATGTTTAATTAGCATTTATTAAACATTTAGCAACGTTTAATTAGCTTAAATTGTCTATAAAGCTATCCCCCTTTTCAAGAGAGTTATGAGAATGTGGAAAACATATGAAATGTCAGTGAACCAAAGTGACTGTCTTCTGTCTAGTCAAAAAGTACAAGCCAGAACATCTGCTGACAATCCCTTAAGCTTGTAATCTTAGTATTTTGACCAAGCTAAATGATTTAGCATTCTGTGTGTCATTGTTGCATTAGTAGCCACCTCCCTGTAGCCATATCAAACCATGTGATAGCCACTAATAGTTCTGTAAAAGTTTGGTTGGCAGTTATTAAATGAACCAGAAGATGGTTTTTTACGTGTTTAATCTGGGTAAAAGATTTATCTGACGTCTGGGTTTTGCTGTCCTGGGCAGAGCAGTGTGAGGTTCTACGTGAGTGGAAATTCTTGCTCCCCTTTCCCTGTCTGCTACACCAAATACTTTGTAGAATAACTACGTGTGTATACTAAACTGTCTCAGAGTGGATCTCTAGTACCCAGTGTATGCTGCTTCTGAAAGTGCTTTTTATATCTTGTTCTCTTTCTTGAGATGATTTTTTACTTGGCTTCTCTCTTTCTCCTCACCGAGTGTATAAATGTTTTTGCTTTGAGAAAAGGAAATATGGTCTTTTTCAAATATTTCTGTCTCCTATCCTGAGCATTAATTTTATCTACTCATTTTAGCAAGGAGTTTTTGTACTGCCTACCTTAAAATCTGGCACAAGTCACATATTACCATAGAATGGCAGTGTTGGTGCAATCCTTCTGCTTCTGCAAATCATCAGTGTAGTATTAATGAGAAACAGTAAAATATTGAGTGTGTTAAAAGTTCCATCAAGTTCATATCAGCTTGTTCACTGCAGAGAATACCAGGAGAGGATCAAGCAATAGGCTGTGTTCAGTAGTACAGTTTATAGTACAGCATTGTAAAAATAACTGCAAAACACTGATTTAAAAAAAAATCTAAAATTCTATTACTTATATATTACTATATAATATATATAATTAATTATATTATCAATGTATTAAATTTAAAAATTTGTATGTGAGCTAAGGTTTGGGATCTGTTGGAATACGAAGATTGAAGAGAGATTAGTGAAAAGCTGTTCAAAGTGTGTGCTTATGTGTGGTTTTTTGGAAGCAATATCCAGAAAGGGAACGCTTGCCAGATGCTGCCTTTATAAGGTGTGAACAGGTTAAGAAATACGTTCTGCTGCATTGTTCTTTAAATTACTTGTTCATCAGAGAAATCAGTTTTATGAGTCTTCTGTCAACATCTTTATGTTCAGCAGTTAGGTTTTTGTGATACGATCTTACTTCTGAGCCCTGTGATGGGAATGTTTTATGAATGTCATTTATAGTTAAGGAGTGCTCATAATGCTGAATCTTTTTGAAAGATCATGAAATAGTTTCATTTTCACTTGGCCTATTCACCTGGTCTGAGGATTTTTTTTTCTCCGTTTGAATGGGTCTGGAGTTACATTAATCTTGAAGATAGCAGTATTTTATTCTCTGTATTTATTGAAAGATCCCATCTGTTTGTACTACTGTTCTTTAGAGTTTTGAGTACCTTTAAAATCTGACTTGTGTGTACAGCACTCCACCAAATTCCAGTTTTGACTGGAGAAGAGGGGAATCTGTAAAAAAATCATTAAGAAATTCTTACCTTTTCTGTTTGCATTTTACCCTATTTACTGTTACTGTGCTTGGAACATTGAATGGGAATATATTTAACCTCTGAGCTGTTCTCCAGCTTTTTCTTAAGGGAGTGGTTTCTAGGTATCAGTTTCTTTATGTAAAAATTTGACCTAATAAATGTTCCTAAAAGGAAAATTTATAGTCCAATTTTAAACAATATAAAGCAAAGTTATGGATTTTTGCTGAAAGGCCTGTTTCTTAAGGACTGTGGTTTCTCTCCTTATGGCAAAGATTAGGTTATTTTAAAAGTGGAATAGTAAAAGTAAAAATAGTTCTGAAAGTGATAGTATTAATCTCCAGAGCAGTAGCTGTATGATGCCATAATTATCAACCTGAAATTCCAGTTCTGTTGAAGTTATTTGAAAAAATATACTGTTGATTCAGTGGTGTCAGAATTTCACAGCTGAAAATAAACTTAGTCTGTGAATACTTGATTGCAGTTTTCTCTTGAGTGGAACTAGAGCACTTGAAGGGTTTTTAATTATGTGTTTGATTTGAATTGCTGAGTTTATCATCATTACTGAGTGAGTTTGAGGTGTATGGTATATGAATGAAGTTTAAGTTCCTGAAGACAAGCAATCTGTTTTTCTTTGGCGATGGCAGTGAGAGCTGGGAGAAGACGGCACTGAATGCTGCTGAGAAGGGAGCCGCAGCTCTGTGGCTCAAGTTGGGGCTTTTTGAGTGTTTTAGGGCAGCTGGCTTGAGGCAATGTGTGCATGCTCATGGCTTGGATTCAAGTGATACGTTAGACTTTAGACTGTAGGTGTTTTTAATGAAATTGTCAGATAGGTTTAATTTTGTTTTTGGAAGCTGTTTTGCTTATTTACTTCTGGTAACACTTGTTTCTTGTATTCATTTTCTTTCGTCTTGTAAAGATTGAGACAGGGACTGAGATCCTGCACAGTATGTGTTTATAGTAAGGCCAGAATTGATAAAGAATTAATGTTGCAGGTCAGGGAGGGGTGGTTTTGCTTAAATGGGGATATTTTCCTTTGTACTGACTTGCATTTGTAAGCATTTGGTTTATTCAAAACCTGATGCTTTAAAAAAAAAATCTATATATTCAATTCAATCACTTGCAAGGTCTTTCATGTGTGCTTTTCAGCTGTGTGCTGTTTTACATATTTGCTGTTTTATTTTTCAGCATTGTCAGTGAAGCGGGAGCGTCGATCTACAGTGTCAGTCCAGAGGCGTCCAAGGAAATGCCAGACCTAGACCCTAACCTAAGAAGTGCAGGTATGAAGAGTATTTCATTTTATCACCTTTCAACATGGAGCTCAAGTCTCAATTCTCAGCCTGTTTTGTTTATGTTCTTAAATAAAATAATTGCCAAAAGTAGAAAAAAGTTTTGGATATTTTGTTTCTAAACCTTAATTATTCTGTCGTTTCACATTTGAAGTCCTAGGCATGCAAGTGAATGACATCAGCTTCTCCTAATGCCTGTAATGTAGAGATCCTTGTGGATGTATTCCTTCAACAGGCTGGTGCAGGAGAATTTATAGCAATGAATAGAAGCAATTAATTGCATGAACTTTCACAGTTGCCCATGTCCATGCTCACAGGGGCTTGACTTTCCCTCTTGTCTGTGTGTACATAAATATCTCTAGCAATAATTAAACCATTCAAGGGCTGGAAAAACAATATAAAACTAGAGCAGATAATTTAAAGTTGTGCATTTGTTGTGATCGCTGGAGTCTTCGTGTAGCTGAATACAGTTTTCAGGAAATATTGTTTAGGTTTTGTGTTTAAAAAGTTATCAACTTCAGCATAAATGTCACAGGTCTAACACAGCAATTGGAAATGTGCAAATGCTGCCACTTCATAATTTTTTGGTTAAAGAGTAGTCTTTAGAGATCAAATTCCTAGCAGCTCCGCCCGTGACCAGATTCTACTCATGGATTTGTTTTATTCAGATACAGCTGTCTTTGAATTTGTTTTATTCAGAAACAGGTTTGAAGTTATTTTTGTATTACTTCACTTATGTATTTTTAATTGTGTGTCTTCTTGTATTTTTTTTCATCTACCTTATGGGTTTTTTAGTTCTTAATTTTTCTGCAGTTTTCTGTCATACTCAATCAAATATAGCGTACTGGAAAATGCAGCAGCACTCATGTATAGAACTTTTCCAGTCAAAATTATAATGTTCTTAGATTTAATGTTTTTCTAGCAGGTTACTGGCCTGGAAATCCTTTGGAGGGTATAGATCAGCAGAAAAGAATTCTGACATGGTATTCAGGGGTAAAACTTTATAGAATTCCCCATGTTTCCCTTTCCTCTTATTTCCACAAAGGGGAAAGTGTTAACTTGATGTTTGAAGTGAATGTTTTTACAGGAATGTTCTTGGAATGTCTGTATCAGCCCTTCCATTTGCAGGAGAGGTCTCTAGCTTCTTTTTGCTTGACTCCCTTTTCCTTGCCTGTGAACAGACTCTGTAATAGTGACTATTTCTTCCCTGGGCCACAGAGGTTTTAAATGTGTCATGGTATGGCCAGACCAATATTAGGCATGTGACATTTCTGTATTTGTGACAGATAGCACTAGCTTTCCCTTGGGTCACAGTTTTTATGGTGCTGATGTATTAAATATACTTTTAAAGTTGATGAAAATGAAGAAAAAACACTGAAAAGAAGGAAATCTAATTATTAACATTATGCTTTTCCAGGTGTACATGTTTCTCATTTTCTCCAAAATTATTTTTCAACATTCCAGACACTTTTTAGTGTTGTGCATCAAATACAGTGAAGTGAAATCAAATTTTTAATATATGATCAATTCAAATATTAATTACCTCGAGTTCATAATCGCTCCATCATTACTACGATTTTCTTCAGCCTTAATTTAAGTGCTTTGCATCTGGTTTTAAAAGCATCAGCAATTTTACTGTGCTGCAGCAGTCCCACAGAGTGGATAGAAATTGAAAAAGGGGAGGATAGAAATTGAAAAATAATTGCTTAGTTCCATGGCCATTATGAAACTGACAGCTAGAACTATCAAGGTATTCTAGAATTTTCAGGCTTTCTTCCTAACATCTTTTGGTGTCAATTTGTAATTAGCTGTGCTAAAGCTATGGATGTTTTCTTGAAGCTGAGTGTAAAAATGGTACATAACATTAGAGGGAAACATTAACTGGTGTTTGAGGCTTTTTCAGACTTTTTTCTTGACTAGCTTACTTGTATAGTTTCAATTTTCCTTTAATTTGCAGCATACAGAAAAGTGACATTGTGTCAAAGCTGACTTGCTTTTTATTTTAATTGTTGTCTTACATCATGTCAGATTCTGTGCTTACATGATAGCATTTAGTACATTAAAGGAAGCTGACAGCTGCATGATGAAGTGTGACATTTATAGTTAAAGGTACAGCTGACGTGAGATATCTGTGATCTTAACACTATTTGCCACTTTAACATTTTTCTCAACAAAACTTTATAGAAGGTTTTTTGAATGACACAGATAGGCCTATGTTTGTCCATTGGGTACATAAAAGTAAAATATTAAATAATACATGTTATATGAGGACTTTCTCATATCTGGAATATTTGCAGTGGTGTTTAGCAATTGTTTGTAGTCAGTTTTTGCTTTATTCATAGAAATAGAAGTTAGCAATCCAGATGGAAAAATTAACTTAGTAGTTTCTCCTTGGCTGAGTGCCCTATATAGGGGGAAAACCAGCAACCTTCATCATTTCTTGGGGGTGCTAATTAAAGATATTAGTTAATCCAAGGTCTCAACTGGCTTTTTTTTCCCCTTTGAGCTGTCTTTGAAGGTCATGGATGACATGAGTTTGTAAAAAATGATTGAGAAAGATCTCTTTTTAAACCAATGCTGTATATGCAGACTGCAGAGGAAAGTCTTTATACAGCATTTTTAGCCAGAATTGAACTTAATTAAAAAAGAAAAAAGGTTTTCTTAAAACAATTTTCTGTTACCTACAGTACAGGGAATTAAATAGGGTCTTTCCAACTATAGAAGTGTTCTGAATATTTCATGAAAGTGCAGTAGCTTCTGTACTGCCACTGCAATTCCTATAAAATCTTGTGGAGTGGGACTCAGCTAAGTAGATAGTAAAGAGCTTGATGAAACCTAGTTACTTGTGTTTGAGTAGAGTGAGAAGGTATATATCCCCTTCTGACTGTCATTGTAGGATTAATGAGCAGAACAGCTATTTCTCAGCCTCACAGAATTAGGAGATAAGAGGCTTATAGGCCAGAGCAATAAAAGGATTTCCTACTTGATAGGCTGAGGAAGTTCAGCTGCAGCAGATTAGGAGGGTTCTGCCTAGAGAGCAAGCCACTGGAGTTCAGTAATGGGCCAGTAATGGGGGTTTTGGATCAACCTGCAGTAGGATTGCAGTCTGACAGACAAGGGAGTGCAGGGCTTCCTTCAATTCTTCTTCTCAAAAGCTGTGCCCAAGGACACACTTGAGATTTGGGGTGGGAAGTTTTGTAGAGAAGAATGGAAATAATTGGAAGAGTACTTTGCAAGCTGGAAATGTTGATCACCTTTGTGAAGTTTATTAGTATGTGCTCTAGCAAGGCTCTGTGCCTGCCAGCTCTGAGGCTGCAATGAGGTATCGGTAATGAGGGAGCTGTGAGGCTGGGTGGATGACTGCAGTTCTATTTCTGCCCTGGCATGTGTCCTCTGGCCACCCTCTTGAAGCAGCAGTTAAAATATTTCGTTTGGTGGAGTTTTCATAAAGCAGTCAAATTTGTATTTTTGGTTGTTCCATTCATTTGTTGGGATTTCTGCTTATTTAAAAAAAAAAAATTATTTCTTTCCTGATTTAGCATCAGTACACCACTTCATGATTAGCCTTCGGTTAGTTTTCATTCATGGCAGCTTCAGGTAGGAGTTGGGCACTTGAACTTGCCTCTAAAATCTCATTAATTGCTCTGGGTCTCTGTGACTGACATTTATTTGTGCCTTTTTTCAATGCAGGGCCTGGATGCAAGTTTCCCTTAGAAGCAGTTTACTGGGCATGGTACTTTGCCTTGCAACTTTAGCAGTAATTTACTTGCCATGGGTTACCTCTCATTTCCAGAGCACATGAGATGGCTGTTCTGGTGTGGTATTCTTTGTAGAAGAAAAAAGTTAAACTCAGTACTGACAGGTATTCCTCCCTCAGACAGAGAGCTCTGTGACAGTCTGTGCCAGCCTGGATTTGGTTGCTGTCACTGGGCCTGGGAATCCTGGAATTCAGTTATTTTCCAAGGGCTGATGTCATTGCTTTACTTCCATCCTGTTCCATACAGTTTTGCCTAAGGTTTTATTTTGTTGTCCAGAGTCTGTATTCCTAATAAAACTAAGTTTTATGGGATAAGAAATTCAGGATGTCAGTACAGGTGTCAACATGTACGCTCTTCCAGGCTTTCTTTTTTCTTCTCTCATTGCTTCTCCGCTTCTATACCCCCTTGTTGCAAATGCTTTTTGGCTTGAGCAAGTTTGGCTAGACAAAAGGGGAGGACTGTGGAGGAACAGGTGAAGTATATAGAAAGTGTAAGCACATATAACTCGTGTTGGAGGATTGGCACACAGAAATGTTAAGTTTATGTATTTGCTGGATGCCTGGAAGCTTTTTAAGGTATGGCCAGCTAGTGGAGGTTTTGTTGTCCATAGTGTAAGGAAGGTAAAAGATGTACCAATTGTTTGGCTTGTGCTCACAAAGAATTTTTTTTCTTTGCTGCCTCTCCACCTCTTGGATACTATAATGAAATGAATGTTGCTTAATAACGTAAGAATCAGAGGATACTGATGCATTCTAATGAAACAGAGGCCTGATGGTAGAGAATTGCTATGAAGCAGGAATCATGCTGAGATTTTACTCTGGTTTCAATACACACTGTTATATAAATGAGAAATGTCTGAATTTCATTAAATTGATGAATTCTTTCCTTTGAAGATGACTGCTCTAACAAATAAGCAATTTTTTCTTTCTTTCACTACTTAAAAAGTAAAATAAAAGGGGTAGAAAGGGGCTGGTTTTTCAGACACCATGTTTGTGTAACCACTTGTTAGAGATCTCATGCTTAGCCTCTCTATTTTATTTTCATACCTTATGCAATCATACACTCTTGATATTTAATATGTAATTCTGTGTTCAAATGCTGAAAGAAGAGCAGCATCCCTGGGCTTGTCTAATGTAACAGCTCTAAAAAATGTGCATTTTCCTCTTGGATGTAAGGAGTAGGGCTTTGTCAAGGCCACATAGTTGTGTCACCCAGTTAGGAAAGCAACAAAGG